AAGAAGAAGAAGAAGAAGAAGAAAAAAGGTTTCATTTAGGAAATTTTAGGTATTCAGTTAGGCAGACCGGCTCCCAGTGTCTGATTGCGCTGTTAGAAAAGGTCCGAGGCGTCACAGTGATGTTCAGCATCATTGGAAACGACCACTTGTTTTCGGTTTGGCGCCATTTTCATCATTCAAAATGGACGAATATAGTAGTGGTGGGTACATTGTTTGCATGTAGCATTAATACTACTTAAAAACATTGAAATTAATTAATTTTCCGTGTTTAAACAAAATTACACAATTAATTTGTTGCTTTTTCAGTGGAAAACATTTGTAAGTTCCGCATCAAAATTTGTAAAAACTTCATTCGCTACTATTTACCTATTGAAATGTCAAAAAAACTTCTATTAGCTGCTATTCTGCATTTCGTGTAGAAACATTTTTACTTTTTCAATTTTTAATCCGCCAAAATGGATCCGCAATTTGGTTTTGCAATGTTAACATTGGCATCGGAATCAGCGAACCCATAAAACACTTTACAAATTTTAATGAAAATTGAAACACGTTTAGACGATTTTTTAAATATTGATCCATCATATTCGATCCACCGTTTTGTTGTTGTTGTTTTTGGTTTTTACAATTTTGACATTGGAATAGTAATCAGCATGCCCAAAAACCATTGTATTCAAAGTTTCATTAAATTTGGATAACGTTTTCATATTTTTGCCAGCCGTTTGAGGTCTTGCCCCAGTGTGCGCCGCAGAGACTGTAGCTCACGCGCCGTCCAGCAGAAGGTGAACCGCTCGCTTTGCCACGCGGAGCCTTTTCCCCAGAGGGAGGAGGTTTCTCGCGTCTTCGGCTCCTTGCATTGGTTTTATTGCTTTGCTTTGCCGGGCGCGTCCATTCGCATGTCGGGCGGGCCTAGGGTTCGAGTCCCGGCGAGGGCGGGCAGCAGCTGTGTGGCGGGTGGCCGCCTGCTCTGATCCGTAGTTTTCCGTAGTTTCTTCGATCAACACCAGATGAGTGCCGGAGCAGAACCCTAATAAACGGGTAGTTTTTCCTTCCTCTTCCTTGTTCCCTTACACTACCACGCATGCCGGAAGAGCTTGTCCCAGCCGGGTCGTGTTCCCGGACAACCAACTCGTCCTTGTGAAGTTTCCTCTCTCCAGTCGTCTTCTGCGGAACACCGCCCATGGAGATTAGAAATGTGTGTCTGTGTGTGTGTGTTTAAGAGGGCAAGGAAGAGGAATGAAATATCGCGCGCGATTCGTGGCCAATTAATTTGGGTACTACTCAGGTATTCGCCTGGTGTTGATCGGAGAAACCAAGGCAAACCACCAACCTCTGGAATTCTCCTCCAGATTTCAGCTGAACTCAGTTTAAGTAGCTAGAATCTAAAATCCTCCCAACACCGGGGCTCGAATCCTACGACCTCCCGGCCACAGACGCTGCAACCGCAAGTTGTTGCTCTGAGCGACCTCAGCCGGTTGAGCCCAACAGAAGAACCGACGAATTCATGGTCGTCACTTAAAGATTAAGGGCATCCTTAAGAAATCGCTTAAAAGAAGTAAGCACTAGAGCCCGGATGTTTAGGCATTCATTTTACTTAAAATAAGCAGGCAAAAAAGTATTTACTTTTACTTACTTTGTCTCAAAATCACCATTTAAAAATTATTATTGCAAAAAATTAATCATTAAAATGATTCACATTTTCATTCTAGCACTAAAATTTACATTAGCATTTACGTATAAGGAAACTACCTTTCCTTTGTAATCTTGATTGCACATGGCCATCCGGTAGGACGACTACGAATTCATTTTACTTGCTACGGTATCTCTAAGAAATACTATTGTGGAATCCCTTTTGAATATTGAAATGGTATCAATGAAAACGGAATTATAGATTTCGTTTCTCACACTTCTGTAATCACTAGAAGGGAAGAGAACAAGAATGAAATGAGAAGGGTACAGACCACTCAGAGGCCATACACAAACATAGAGAGATTTCTCGTGAACTATCAAGTCTGACAGCTTAATGCAAAATATCAAAAACCTTCACTGGTGTCATCTTCCCTTCCGTTTTAGATTTTTAACACAAGCTGAGCCTCCGCGTTCACGAAAAGTCGTGAAAAACGCGTCTTGTCTTGTCTCACAGGTATGATTCCAGTTCTTCCAAAGAGGTCTGCGCCAGGGGGAAAAAGGAAAACGACGAAAAAGTCAAAAAATGCGCAAGTAAGGCAAAACGCCAAAAACAGGCATCGGAAGCTGAAATAGGCAAAATAAAAATCTACTAGAACAACCCCAGAAGTACAAGTAAGTGATCCTATTGTTAAAAGTCATAAAATCGTAAGAATAATAAAAAGGCATTTGGCAAACTTGCGGGCTCTAGTAATCACATATGGAGGTACTATTTCGTAGACTCTGCTCCTGCACGCGGAATGAATGCAGTCATTTGGGGTGTCATTTTTGAAAATAATTTGTGGCGTCTGCACTGACGCAACGCGCCTCCAAATCCCTAAAGAGGGCGTTGAGCGCTTGCTTCAAAGAGGTAATCTATCGTTAATATTTATTGGAGTAATCCTCCGTTAATATTATGTTGGTCTGCTGTCCATTCGCGTCGCAGTCAGTTGTCAAGAGGACCGCCAGGTAGCATCTCCGCATACGCGCCTCTCTCTTCCTCACTCTACTTATTCTTGCGTCACTACCCAGCTGTCGGAATTGGGAAGGAATTAGGAAAGTAGTAGGGTTTAGGACACTTCACAGGGTTGAAGTAGCCAAACTCGTCTAGTTGGAACAAATTTCACATAAGTGGTGACTTTAGATCACGGAGGTGAGCTTTGCACCACACCTCACTTTAAAGAATGTCTGTGAAATTAAATGTTAGCGTGTGTATATTCAGTTACTTTAACCATTAGTCGATTCTAGGAAGTTGAACACACCAAACGGCAACACCGGTCTGTTGTGCTTTTGATTATTACGGCTTCAGCTGGCAAGAAAAACAGTTAAATTTTGGACGTGTTATATTCTCTTATTTTATGAACTTAATGCATTTTATTGAGGTGTTGATTGTAATAATTATTCACAGTTCACTCTTAAGATAAAAACTGCAATTTATTCGTACCATTTATTATTCCATATCATAATTTTAAAATGGGGTGACTTTGTACCAGGGAGATCATAATTTCAGATATGGTTCAATGTCACTCTGATGTACTTTTACAAACAAACCGTGTGATTTATTGCTTAATTAACCCAGACGCATCCTTTACGAGGCCTAGAACTTATCATTGGGCTGATGCTAGACCCTATCGGAGGCGTTCTGACGAAAAGTTACAGGAAAATGTTGAAGATGTATGAACAGGTAAACTTTTCGAGAGAAAAGCAGCTCTTTACAAAAGTTTACGATCTACCATAGGAAATAACTTGCAAGGTAAACACTGTCAAACTATCAGGTTTGGTGATCAGAAAGTGTTTAGTGATCAAGAAGAAGTAGCATTCATTAACGATCTTGCAGGACTTGGCGAGCTAAGATTTCTCGTGGGAAAGAGATTTTCGTTTTATTGTTGAAAAAATGTGTTATGATCATAAGTAAGATAAAACTTATTCATATTAATAACACGTCTCAATCGCCCCTGGGTAAATAATAAATGGCATTGAGAGTTTTAGTTAATGCTATTTTATACTTTTTACTACTAATGAACAATTAAAATGAAATAATACTCATGGTTATGTTTTTACATAGCACAAACTCACCATACCCCTTAATCCTTTCAAATTTGCTTACATTCTCGCAAGAAAGACGGAAGCAGACAAACTCACCCTAGTTTGGGGTGTGGCATTGTAGTAGCACACAAACTTCCTATAGTACCAAATAAAACTAATGGTGCTACAGAAAGGCACAGACTTTGCTGTATTAGTTTTCTATTTCCATTGGTCTCAGTTCGCTATTCTGATTTGCAACAAGCGCTTGCCAGCTTCCCTCTATTGCCACCCAAAGTACATTTTTTGAAATTTTCTTAATTTTTCGGCTTCCTAATAGTAGAACGGAAATGTTATTTTAAGAATATTAAAGAACAGTAAAACCTCGACCTACATGGAAATTTTCTTTGAAACATTTGGAGGCGTTTTTAAGAAAATGGTAATTTGTCAATCACATAGGCACTAAGATTCTGACTGTACCGATTGGTCAACGCCCCCTCCCCGGGTCCAAGTATTCCTGGACGGTTAGGAAGATGGAATGTTACCCGCCAGTTCTTGTGGGGGGAAGTTTACGTACACTGGAAAGTAAAAACGGTTAAATAAACGGGTTCTTGGCGGATATCTTGGCCGTTGTTGAAATTACAAATCCCCTCGGTTCTCCTCATCACGCAAAGTTTTTCGGGCACAGTTTTATTTTATAAATTTCACGCGGGGCCATGTTCAGCGCCACTTGGTGCAAAGTCGAGAGGCTTCGAAAGCCGAAAGGATCCGCATCCGCAACGAACTTTCCAACGGCCGCGGCGGGCGGCCCCGCGCCCACGAACAGGCTGCGGCCCCTCATACATACACTATTTCAACGCAAATGCACGTTTTGTAGGCCACAGATATCGAAAAAGTGTTGCTTTTTGTTTTTTCAAAATGCTCGACCGTCCATCCATCTGCCCGTCCGTCTGGTGTCTGAAAACACTACTAGCACCTAAACCATGCGTAAGATTTGTATCCAAATTGAAGACCCTTCTGTCCATCTGGTTTGAGTTTTGAAACTTTGAGTTTTTGAAAATCATTCTTCAAAATTTGGGAGTACATTACATGAAGCTCTCCGGATATTTTCTCAAAAAAGGCTCCAATTTTTTTTTAGCTTTTGGTAGATATAGTGTTAAATATACTCTATAAGATGACGTAAACGTCATATAGTTTTATTATTTTGTTTTTTCAAAAATTACAAAAATATAATTGTTTTGAATTGTCTC